AGTATTACAGAAGAAGAAGATGATGCAGCAGTTTTAGAGAAGAATGATGTAAATTCGATTCCTAGTAATATCAACCTATCGGTGGTTGGGAAAGTTCTATCCCTTAGACCGTTCAATTTTGAGGCATTGCAAAACACCGTCAAGAAGGTTTGGTCCATTGCTCAAGGGGTTGTATTTAGAAGAATTGAGAATGATCTCTTCATTATCCAATTCTTTCATTGGAAGGATAAAGAAAAAATTTTAAATGGAGAACCGTGGAGTTTTGATAATAACCTGGTAATCTTGAAGGAGATACATGGGATGAACAGCCTGATTCAATTGAGATGAAACTCTGCCCTTTCTGGATTAGGTTATACAATTTACCTCTAGATTGTCGATCAAATGATGATATAAAAACAATTGCGGGTAAGGTGGGGATGGTGTTGGAAGTCGAGGAGGATGTTCTTGGATGGGATAAATGGAGGAGGGCTAGAAACTTGGTGGACACAACAAAACCTATTAGGAGGGTTCAAAAAATTCGAACCGAAAATGGAACGGAGACTTACGTACAATTTAAGTATGAAAGGCTCCCGAATTTCTGTTTTAATTGTGGATTATTGGGGCATACCCAAAGGGGTTGTCCCAAGGATGAGAATGATGAGGAGAGTTTAGAGAAACAATGGGGAATGTGGCTCAAGGCATCACCCAGAAAAGGTTTCTTTCAACGCCAAGATGAAGTAGAAAATCTATGCAAGGGAAAGAAGCTGATATTTACTCATAAACCTCAGCAAGGTGGAAAGCGAGATGTAGTAAGGGAGGGGTCGTCTGACAGTAGGAGAAAAGGGTGTGATAAGGAAATATAGCTAGTCGCGGTATATGATGATACGAGCCAGAGACGGGTGCTTCGTCCTTTAAGAATTGGGGCTAATGGGGAGAGTGAAAAGAGGGGTTATGAGGAGGAGGAGGATACTGTGAGGGAGGAGGGGCATTGGGTGAGGGGGAAGGGGTTTGATCAGCTCGAGCTTTTAAGCAGGGGAAAGGGAGAGAATGGGGTGAATGAAGGAGAGGAAGGAGTGGATAGTAGGGAAAATGTGTTGGAGGGGAATGTGACTAGTGGGGGGGAGGTGAAGAGGAACACGGGTTGGAATTGGGAGGGAAGAACAAAAGATGGAAAAGGCTGGATAGGATGCTATTGGGCTACTCTTATGGTGATGCAAATACGGGTGGGTTGGTGGCTTCGTGTGCTGGTCAAAAAGGGGTGGGGGGGAGCTGGGGGAGGGAGACATTGAAGCAGTAGAGAAGAAGGATGAAAAGAAGAGAAAGGTGGGGTGTAGTTCTAGTATCGGGGACGGCTATATCCAAGTAGAGATGGATGGAATAAACCATCCCCTCGAACGACAATGAAAATCCTTAGTTGGAACGTCTTCGGAGCTGGCAACCCGAGGACGGTGAACACCCTCTGGGACTTGTGTTGGAGGAATAGGTCGAATGTGGTTTTCTTGATGGAAACCAAAGTAGATAGTGGGGTGATGGAGAGATTGAAGCATAGATGTGGGTATGAAAATGGCATATGTGTTAGTAGTGTGGGAAGATCGGGGGGGCTGTGTATTTGGTGGAGGGATGTCAAGGCAAAAATAGTTTCCTACTCAAATCACCATTGTGCTATTGACATATGCGGGGAGAGTGGTTCTCCCATATGGAGAGCTATGGGCATCTATGGATGGCCAGAAACAGAGAACAAGTATAAAACTTGGGACCTAATGAGGACCTTGAAAGGTGAGTGTGCTTACCCTTGTCTTTTCTTCGGGGATTTTAATGAAATAGTGTGTGCGAGGGAGAAAGAAGGGGGAGTCCACAGAAGGGAGTGCATGATGCAAAATTTTTGAGATGTCATTGATGTTTGTCATCTTCGAGATCTAGGGTATAAGGGTTGTATGTTTACATGGCAAAGAGGAAAGACTGTCGAAACCGTGACTCGGGAGACTTGACAGATTTTTGGGAGATACGGAGTGGTGTAGTCTTCATCCACAGTATGGGGTTAACCATTTACCTCGCATTTCATCGGATCACGCACCCATTATGATGGATACTGCTGTAGTTTGCGATAAAGGGAGGAAAAATAAACTCTTTCGCTTTGAGGCGTGGTGGTTGTCTAGTGAGGAGTGTGAAGGGGTGGTTAAGAAAGCGTGGGCTGAGAGTAGAGGCAAGATGGCGCATAGCAGGCTGAATGATTGTGCAACGGCTCTTATAAGGTGGTCGGCTAAAACCTTTAGGGCCTTGAGAAAGAAGATTAATGAGAAGGAGACCGAGTTACAAGAGGCTCAGGGGGCTGTTCTTGATGGGTTAATGTTGGAGAAATGTAAGAAGCTGTCTGAGGAAATTAATGAGCTTAGACAAATGGAGGAGTCATACTGGTATGCAAGGGCGAGGGCAAACGAAATGAAAGACGGTGATAAGAATACCTCGTATTTCCATCGAAAGGCATGTCATAGAAAAATTCAAAATTATATTGATGGGATTTATGATGGGGCTGGTGTGTGGAGGGAAGATGAACAAGGCATCAAAAATACAGATGCTGACTACTTTGTGTCCCTTTTTTCGTCGGAAAATCCTACGGAATTCGAGGAGGCTTTGGCTGGGGTTCATACGGTGGTCTCGGAGGACATGAATGTGGTGCTGGACTCTTGCCCATCAGACGAGGAAATCAAAGTAGCTCTGTTCCAAATGCATCCCAATAAGGCTCCTGGTCCGGACGGTATGCATGCTCTTTTCTTTCAAAAAATTTGGCATGTCGTTGGTTCTGATATTTGTTGGGTGGTTAAGAACTGGTGGGAAGGGAGGGTTATCATTGCCGATTTTAATAATATGTGTATCGTGCTAATCCCGAAATGTAATGAGCCTAATCATATGAAGGATTTCATGCCTATTAGTTGCTGTAATGTGATGTATAAAATTATTTCAAAAACTCTAGCTAATAGGCTCAAACCTTTTTTGGATAATATTATTTATGTAAATCAGAGTGCGTTTGTCCCGGGGCGCCTTATTACTGATAATGCCACAATTGCCTTTGAGATATTTCATGCTATGAAGAGAGGGGGGGAAGGTCGAAATGGTGTCATGGCCATGAAACTTGATATGAGCAAGGCCTATGACAGGGTGGAGTGGTGTTTTCTAGAAAAAGTGATGTGTAAAATGGGATTTTTTGCAGGGTGGTGTAATCGGGTCAAGGAGTGTATTTCAACTGTGTCTTTCTCTGTCAAGCTGAATAATGAGATATACGGTTCTATTACTCCTACTAGGGGCCTTAGACAGGGTGACCCGATCTCTCCGTATCTATTTCTCCTTTGTGCTGATGCGTTCTCATGCCTGTTATCGAAAGCTGCAGGGGACAAAGACATCCATGGTGCCAAGGTCTGCAGGGCGGCTCCAAGGGTTTCCCATTTGTTTTTTGCAGACGATAGTTTGCTATTTGCCAGGGCTAACATTCAAGAATGCTCGAAAGTTACTGATATAATCAGAAAGTATGAACGATCTTCGGGCCAATGTGTCAATTTAGATAAAACAGATGTTGCCTTTAGCAAAAGAGTTCCATTGGAAAGGAGGGAAGCAATCATCAATTTAATGGGAGTGAAGGAAATTTATAGGCACGAGAAATACTTGGGCCTTCCCACGATCATCGGAAAAGCAAAGAAAGTTGTTTTTGAGGGACTTTGTGAGAGAATTTGGAAAAAGATGAGCGGGTGGAAGGAGAAGTTGCTATCAAAACCGGGTAAGGAGGTGCTTCTCAAAGCCGTTATTCAAGCCATACCGACATATATCATGAGTATGTTTCGGATTCCAGATAGCATTGTGGATGAGATTCACAGAATGATGAACAAGTTCTGGTGGGGCTCGACAGATGGGCATAGGAAAATACATTGGCGGTCTTGGGAGGCTCTTTGTTATCCGAAGGGAAGAAGAGGGCTAGGCTTCCGTGATCTTAGGGACTTTAACCAAGCTCTGCTGGCGAAGCAAATTTGGAGACTCCAAGTTAACACAGGCTCCCTAGCTCATACAATAATGAAAGCTAGGTACTTTAAACATTCGGATGCAATAGGGGCCCTGAGAGGTCATGACCCTAGTTATTTATGGAGGAGCTGGTGGAGCGCGAAGGGGATTGTGCGTGATGGGATTGGCTGGAAGATTGGGGATGGCCGTGGCGTTAGATTATGGAAAGATCCTTGGTTATTCAAGGAGGGAAAGCCAATTATCCTCCAAGTTCCGGATGGGGATACAATTGAGAACAGGTGTGTTTCAGACCTTATAATGGAGGACCATCCTATGTGGAATGTGGAGCTGGTTAGAGAAGTTCTAGGGGAATATGCTCCCATTGCACTGTCTATACCCCTGTCTCAGCATAATACGGGGGATAGGGTATATTGGAGATTCACTAATAATGGCCAATTTTCTGTGAAGTCGTGCTATTGGATGATTAGGGGGGTGAGAGATGAAAATAGAGAGCATGGTGATTGCTGGAAGTCAGTATGGAAGTTGAAAGCTCCGCCCAAATTAAAACACTTTGTGTGGAATGCGTTGAAGGGAAATATGGCTGTAAAAGCTCGTCTCTATCAAAAACATATCTCTGAGGATAGCTGGTGCCAAGTTTGTGGAGATGCTCCTGAAATGGTAATGCACTCTCTGTTTTTCTACAGGGCAGCTCGTAGCATATGGAGAATGAGTATGTTCGAGAACCTATTAGAGGAGGCGCCTCATGAGTCTTTCGTGGAATGTTGGAAATGGTTGCTTCATAAGGTAACAATGGATACCTTGGTGCGTATGGCAGCATTGATGTGGGCAGTATGGAGGTGTCGAAACCTAATATTTTTTTAAAATGCGAGCCCGGATGTGGTGCAGGTGGTTGTGGGTTTCTTTAAGTATGTGGTAGAGTATTCTACCTATGCGCAACGTGTGTTTGGTGCGACTGTAAATCATGGGGTTCGATCAAATACAAGTTGGCAGAAACCTTCAGTTCGGAGGGATGGATGAAAGTGAATGTGGATGCTCATATTAGAAATGCGACTACTGCAGGCTTGGGAGTGGCTGTGCGTGATCACCAGGGCAGACTAATTGTGACAGCTACAAAGCACATCCATCATGCTCCACCAGAATGGGCTGAGGCGCAAGCTGTGAGGTATGGGCTAGGGGTGGCGAGGAGGTTGGGATTCAGGAGGGTTTGTGTGGAGTCTGACTCCTTAAATGTGATAAAGGCGATTTCATGCCCAAGCAATGGTAGGTCTCCTATATATTCTGTATATGAGGATATTTCGGTTGATAGAGCATACTTTGATGCGTGTACTTTTTCTCATACAAAGAGGAACGGTAATACGCTAGCACACTTTGTAGCCCGTTGTAATGTTGGGGATGGTCTGGAAACTATTCGTTTTCCTCCGTTCTCCGAAAGTGTAGAAACACTGGTTGCTTTGTAATATAATTGCTCTATCTTTCCTTTAAAAAAAAAAAAAAAAATCATCCGCTTTTTAGTTCGATAATAAACCTTGTTATAAACTTCATTATTAAATGTTATTCTCCTCTTTTCCAATTTAAATTGAAACTGTTACCTTTTTTTTTTTCTAAAACAAAATAACAATACAATTTCTTCCATTTTTTTGGACATATGCACCCCAAACTAATAAGATTAAGACTAATATGGTAAAAACTTGGTGTAGGGGGGGGGGGGGGGAGGAGTCGCATTGCGGGTGCACCCACAACTAGTGACTACAAAAATACCCTTGCAAGCACTTATAAGGCCTATAACTTATATGCACGTTTTAATACAAAATGTTAAGTAGACTGTTTGTGAATTATTTTCCTAGAGATAAGAGATACGTAAAAGGGATTATCCCTCATGAGTCATGACCATTTATGATATGGGATATGAGGCAAATTTAAAGGGATAAATTAAAAATTAACCAAGACAATTTAAAATTGACACGATATTTTACCCAAAACTTGCCCTTCAACCCAAATTGCATTTTTGTATCATTACACGCTAAAAGATCCACCTAGTTTACTCGGAATTGGGTTAAGCTTAGACTCACACTAGATTTTAGAGTTTATCGTCAGGAGCGGCGCTGAGGGTGTGCAACTTGGGCGACCACACGGGGCCCCCAAAAAACAAAGGCCCCAAAATTAGATATATTGATATTAAGTTGAGTGATGTAATGTAAGAATGCTTATGGTTTAGCGCTATGATGCACATATTTTATAGAGAAGGTGTGGAATTCAAAACCTCCTCAATGCATTTTTTTTTTTTTGGTTTTTTAGCTAGCTTCTCTTTTCAAGACTCCAACTTTGCTTTTTATTTTCTTTCTTGCTCCTTAATCTTCTCAATATATGGGTCTTTGTATTCCTGGTCTTTTTTTTTTTTTTTTGCAAATTTCTAATTTCTAATTCTTATATTTCTACTTCATAGTTTTAATTTTTTGCAAATTCAAGAACTCTAACTACTTCGTATAAGTTTGAAAATTCTTAACAAAAGTTTGTGGATCGATAAGATTAAAGTATATTTATTCCTAAAATATACAAGTAATTTTTTTAGCTTCTTGCCTTCTTATATGTAGTCCTAATAGCCGATAGGACTATGGTTATCATTTTCTTATTTTTTAAGTCTTCTATTGTTGGTAGGATTATTTTTTTTCATACGAATAATTATAAAAAGGCCCAATTTTATATCATCGCACAGGCCCCAAATTTCTTTGTTTTGCCTCTGTTCATCATACTTTCTAATCTTATATTAAGAATATTGCAAAATTTTACATATTCAACCATAAACGAAGTAGTATTAGGTTTAGCGTGTCACATTAGTTATATATTGTAAACTAATTTTTCATAATTCCTCGTAAGCTTCGGCTTAGCTGACATCTTCTAAACTGACTAGTTGGTATCTCAATTGAATTATTATTAACAATAAAAGACAAAAACAAAGATTCATCAATATACTTGTACAAAAATATCCATCATTTACTATAAATATACAAAATTGTGATTCAACTAACTTTACTTACATTACAATAACATCCGTGATCTTCAAACTCTACCCAAAATAAAAATTCCACAAAAAAAAAATAAAAAATAAAAAATAAAAATAAAAATTCTACAAGCCAGCTGCCTTACAAGTTACGACAGTCAACAAAAGATGACATTTCAAGTGAGATTCTAGAAGCACACCGTATAAATACATGTATATAAATTATAAACAATGTTTAATTACTTTATATAAAAAAAAGGACAAAAATAATATTCTGAAATAGTAATTAATTTACATGGGAGGCACAAAGGGTTGATGATGTTGAGGGATTCGAAACCAGACCTGCGACACCGGAGATTTGTCGGCAACACCATGCCAACAAATGCCGCCGCGACATATCTCAGCGCCGCCGACTGCGCCGCCGTTAATAACATCGACTCGTGAAACCGCTTTCCGTGAGACATCCCACGTCAGCGTCGTCACTAACACCAACCCCACCACCGCCGTCGACACCGCCAGTATGAATATTCCGGTGAAACTCTGCCCCATCATAAGACCGTACGCCTTAATCGCCGCTATTAAAGCTAAGTATATCGTCATTAGATTCCCGACAACGGCATCTGAAATCGCCATGAATGAATTTGATTTTGAGGAGAGAGAAAGTGAGGGAGTAATTTTGGGAGGAATGAATGAGGAGTGAATTGGGGTTTAAGAATTCGGGGATTTTTTTTATTTTTTTTTTTCCAATTTTTGGGGATATTTGGAATATATTTGAATATTGGGGTGGTGGGGTGGAGTTATCTTGGCTTTAAAGGGAGTTAATTAAGAGTGTATATGAAGGGAGGCCCAAAGAGGTTATACCACGTATTTAGTTATTCAGATTTGTTTACGTGGCTATTGATTTATGCGAGACCCATTTTTGAATTTCTCACCAATCTTTATCTTGTTTGGTGACAAGCAACCATGGCGTCTTCACTCCAATCCTATCATATCATATCATCACTTTAGAAACAATTATTTTATTTTTTTTTTATAAATATATATCCAGATGCACATACAGAAAGAGTAAAGTAATAGATGTATATAAGTGGAGTTATGGTTAGATTTAATAATTTGGAAAAGTAAGAGAAAAATATAAATTAAAAACCACTAGTTATAATGTGAGAGGGGAATATATTATAACAATAGTGGGGTCAAAAGAAAGAGAAAGAAATGAATCAAATGATACTACCTCCATTCCTAAATAATAGACCTGATCAAAGTGCAGGTTAGGCCGGGCTGAGACTAAAAAAGTTAGCCCATTTCTCAGACTGGGTCAAGCCCAGCTTCGAATTGGAAATTCCATGCCCAAACCCGCACAAAATGGTTAGGTCGTGCGGGCTTTTCGAGTTAGGCAAAAAAAAAACCAAAATTGTATTAAAACGCATTCCCAAGCCCGCCCAATAAATTAAAAGAATTGGGCCGAAAAATTCTGCCCAAAACTCACTCAAATTCGGCCCAGAGCAACGGGGCGGGCTAACTTTGATAAGCTCTACTAAATAATTAACACACTTCCCTTATTCGTCTGTTCCTGAATATTTGACACAATATTTAAATGACAAGGACCCTTTAATATTTAATTGCTATTCTATCGTACACAATCCTTACCACTTTTAAGGTTTATATTAAAATAATCCCCACCCCCAATCAAACATTCCACTAACTTCACTTTACGATAAACAATTCAATAAAACTATCCTACTCAAACATTTCATAAATCCGTTTCAACGTGTTAATTAAATGGAATGGAGGGAGTATATAACTATTGTGTGATTCGAGCATTGCACTGGGTTGCTATTTTTAAACATAATGTTAATAAAAAAGTTCCCTCTAAGGTTTCTCTTTGAGAGGGTTTTTTTTTTCCCTAGCTTCCATTACTAGGTTTCTTCTGTTTTTTTTTTTAAAAAAAAAAAGGTTATTCTTCACTTTTATCCCTTTTCTCTTCTTCTCTTTCAACTTTTTTCTTCTTGGTCTCAGTTGCGAATCTTTGTAGGGGCTTCAACTAGTGTTTTTACTGATGGTAAGACCAAAAACTTTTTTTATTGCTTTCAATATATAGATCCTATCCTTGAGATAATGGTTCTTCTTTATGTGGATTGAAAATCTAGGGTTTTATGATCTTCGTAAGTGTGAGTATTATCACCCAAACGACTATGCATTTTTGGATTTCAAGCCGAATTAGTGCTGAGACTGCTAACTCACAAATTGTATTGTATCATTTGACTATCTTTTATTAATGAAATTTTTTATCTTCCTGTTAAAAAAAAAAAAAAAAAAAAAAAAAAAAAAAAAAAAAAAAAACCTTAATGTCGGTAAAAAAAAATTAAATAAAAAGGATTTAAAGAGAATAACTATCCATTGTATTGGAATTGTGCTATTCCTCATTTTATTTTTCAGGCTACATAATTATTTTTTATTATTTATTTGTGCTTACTTACATTTATATTTAGTTATGTGTATATACAAAACATAAATTACTATTGGCTAAAGTGGTAAGAATTGTGATCCTATATCCATGAGGTTTAGTGTTCAAAACTTGCAGGATGTTATGGTAGTGCATTTTACGTGTCATATAAATGTTATTAAGAACACTTTTTAATATATATACTAGATTGTGGCTAGGACGATGCCCCGGATATTGAAATTACCTTAAGTTTAAATACTTGTAGATATTACTATGTATATAATTGCTTAATTGGTATTGAATATAAAAAAAAATAGCATCCAAGGAAACAACCATTAGTATGTGATTGATTTCTTACAAATTAGATTGTAGTTTAATGTGCAATTATTTGAAGTTACATTCTACATGAAAATTAAATACGAAGGTTACACATATGAAGAGTTTTGAGTGATGACGTATAGGGTGACACGTAATGGTGATGTGGCGCCAAATCACATTGAGGGAATAGTACACATGGCGATAGCATGTTATCCCTTTTTATTTTAATAATATTATAGACTATAGAAGTGAATGGGGTTTCTAAATTTGGATATGGGGCACTTAGGTGTTGTTCAGTTGGAGGTAAAAGACATGGAAAATTTCCTTTCCTAGGAAATAGGATATGGATATCTTGTTTAATTGACAGAAAAATATCAAATTGAGGGAAATGGAATTTACAAGGGAAGTTTCAATATCCATGGAACATGGGAATTTACTTACCAAGCCCCCCTTGGTAAGTCACATTTCTAAGGGTGTCAATTTGGGTAAACAGTTCGGGTTTGGGTTGGGTTTATCAGTTTCAGGTTATTACGGGTCGGTTTATAACGGGTTGAAATAATTAGCAGGTTGGTTTGGGTCCATTTTGAAAATCATCAAGTCAGTTCGGTTTGGTATTCTTTATTGAGGTTTCTATTCGGGTCGGGTCCTAATCGAGTCGAGTTGTAGTTGGTTCGAGTCATAATTAGTTTGGGTTGAACCAGGTCGATTTGAAAACGGGTTTAGCCAATTTAAAGTGGGTTTCGATTCAAAACAGTTCGGGTCTAATCGGATCGGGTTTAATCGGATCAGGTCATAACCAGTTTGGGTTAAACCGGGTCTGTTTGAAAATGGGTATCGGTTCAAAACAGATCGAGTGAAATCGGGGGTCCGGCCATTATTGGTTCAGGTCATAATCGATTTAGATTGAACTTGGTCGGTTTGAAAATGGGTTTACCCAATTTGAAGCGGGTTTCAGTCCAAATCATATTGGATTGAAATTGAGTCGGATCACTATCGAGTCGAGTTAGACCCTGTTCTTTTGAGCTTCTGGGCAGGTCAGAGCAGGGGTCAGTAGAGCATAACATATTTCACCAGAGTAGAGCAGAGCAGATTTCAGCATTATTATTATTATTATTATGATTATTATTATTATTTTTATTATTAATATTATTTTATTTTAAGTATTATTACTATTATTATCGCATTTAATTATTATAATTATAATTATTATAATTTTATTATTATTATTTTATATTAATTATTATTATTATTTTATTATTTTATTATTATTATTTTTATTATTAATATTAATATTATTTTATTTTAAGTATTATTACTATTATTATCGCATTTAATTATTATAATTATAATTATTATAATTTTATTATTATTATTATTATTATTTTTTTATATTAATTATTATTATTTTATTATTATTATTAAGTTTTTATATTAATTATTATTATTATTATTATTCATTATTTATTTATTTATTTATTATTATTATTATATATTAATTATTATTATTATTATTATTATTATAATTATTATTATTATTATTATTATTATCATTATTATATATTAATTATTATTATATATTAATTATTATTATTATTAAATATTAATTATTATTATTATATATTAATTATTATTATTATATATTAATTATTATTATTATTATTATATATTAATTATTATTATTATTATTATTAATTATTTATTTTAAATATATTAATTATTATTTTTAATCCATAGCAGAGCAGAGCAGAGCAGATTTTAGTAGAGTAGAGCAGAGTAGAGCAGCTCTGAAGAACAGGGTCTTAGTCAGATAATGCGTAGGAATGGGTCATGTTATAATCAAGTTAAGTCATAAATAAGTTGGGTTTATCGAGTAGTGGGTTGGAACGGATCTAATCATAAACATATTGGGTTACGGGTTGTAAACGACTCAGTCATAACGGGTTCGGTCGTAAACAGTTCGGTCTCAACGGGTTACAGGTCGTAAACAGTTCGGTCTCAACGGTTTACAGGTTAAAACGGTTCGGTCATAACGGGTTACGGGTTATAAATGGTTCGGTCACAACAGGGTTACGAGTTGGACCGGTTCAGGTTTATCGGATTTTTGCCGGGTTTAAACAGTTTTCGGTTTAAAATAGTTCGGGTTATTATTGGGTTCAGACGTAATTGGATCAGATTGTTTTCAGTTTCGGGTTGTAACGGTTTGGCTTGATAACGGGTCAGGTTAGTAACGATTCGCACAAATTCGGTTTTCAAATTGGGTGAGAAAAAATTGGGTCAAGTCGGTTTTCGGTTTTCAAAAGACGGGTTTTTAACGGTTCAGTTCCTTTTCGGATTGGTTCAAAACAGTCGGATTTAACAGTTTGGGTCAAAAACTGATAGCTCTACACATTTCCCATGATTATTGTAGGGCCTACTTGCCTTATTAGCACTAATACATTAGTCTCTTTCTTTCTCCCTCCAAATTAATCAAGCTAATAACTAGTAAAATCCTATATTATCAACCAAACAAGCTCAACCATTTCCTAGGAAATGGACAAGGGAAATAATTTCCCATATCAACCAAACAATACCTTAAAAAACAACTGCTTTTGAAAAGTGGAGGACTTTAAAAAAATAATTTGTTTGCTAATTTTTTTTAAGTACACCTTGCACCCGATTGTATATAGTTGGTTTGGGTCGGGTTCAGGTCTAAAATATTGGCCCAAAATCCACAAAATTGGATCAGGCTTAGTAGACTTTTCAGGCCTTTTCAGTCTAGGCAAAAAAAAACTAAAAATTAGAAATGTATGTCCAACGACCAAGAAAAAAAAATCTATTTTACACGACTTCGGGCCAAAAAATCTGCCCAAAGCCCCCAAAATCAGGTCGGGCCTAATATGAACAGCTCCAAGCCCTGTTCACTTCACCTTATAAAAAAAATTTAATTTAGTAAAAATTAGTAATTTTAAAGAAGATATAATAAAGAATTTGGGCCGTGGGAGTTGTTTGTTTCAACTGCTATCAGTAAAAATAATTTCAGTTCATCAAAAAAAAAATTACTTCAATAAAAATAGTTTAAGTTCAGCAAAAACAATTTCAGTTCAGTAATAATAATTTCAGCTAACCAAAAATAAGGTGAAGTGTAGCCTAACTCTGCATTATATTATATAGAGGTGATCTAAATTTGGGTCAGGGCTTAGCATCAAATCTCATGCTCAAACCTGCAAAAAAGTGACAGGCTTATCAGGCCAAAGTTGATTTTTCGGGCTTTATTCATGTTTTTAACATTAAAAATTATTTTTATGCTTAGCGTGACATGTCGTAGTTGATAACCTCTAATATTTATTGGGTTTTACTCTAATCTTATTACGAGTGCGGAAACAACCCTATGTCCGGATCCATGTATTATTCAAAAGACTAATCACAACACATAATCTACTGAAAGTACGAGCGGAGCTAAGAATAAGAACTGCAAGATCAATCCCTCTATTGAAAGTCCACCCGCACAATCAAACCCGTCTGCAATATATTAGCTTAGAATACTGGACAAGAACTCTTAAGGTAGAGCAT